ATCAAGTTCTAATTTTACAGGGATGTAGGCGACTCAATGTCAATGTTATTTCAACTCAGCAGAGTTTAAAGAAGTGGAGAGACTACAACTCTTTTTGATTAATTAATCGATTCCACAATCTCCTAGCTTTATCATAAATGAAAATTAAGGACTTGGTTGTGTGGTACCTAAACAAATAGATGGATAACAAAGTTTTTGTTACGACTATTGTGAAACATTGATAACATAAGCACCGCCATAAAAAATTTAACAATCCTCCATCCCCCACCCGACCCAATTTTATGAAATTGAATTTCGACACTCCTCCCATAATACAAAATCCATCTCAAAAAAAAAATTCTCAAATTTTAACTATACACCCGTCAACGACAGGTACATCAGCTAGTAATAATATATAATTTGAATATTTTAATTTATTTTATTATGCTTGTTTATTATAATATAATTTGATTAGGTAACTATTACCTAATGCCAGACAAATGTCTCTGGCATTTAAATAGTAAATTTGTATAATTCTAGGGCAGGAGTCTCCACTAATTATAAGTGGATACTGTTGGGATATCACAAGGGGAGAATTCATCAAATTATTCAATAATTTAATTTTCTAATAGATTAATTGATGAATTTTTGGAATGAACGGACGATAGATACCTAATTATTTAAATATAATATCAGATTTAGAATTACTAAACTACAGCAGTAAATGCATTTAAGGTTAAATATCCATGAAATTATATTTTAAAGAATGTCATAGTCTTGATTCGGTGTATTTTTAATACTTCAGTTTCAAACTTAAAAAAAAAAATTTAAATGTTAACATTCAGTACGAAAATTCCATTTAATTTCCTTGGAAACATGTGATTTACGTAAAATAATGTTAGTCTACATATATTATCATTTCCACTTTCCAACGATATATTGTACGTATACCTTTTGACTATTATTTCGAATTAATAGTCTTCGATAAGCATTTTTCTTTATTTTTCCTTTATTCAATTGTCAAATTCTTTCAAAAGTTATATTTAGCCATTTTTTATAGTTACTGTTAATTAGAGAGAATTATCTTTAAAAAAAAAAAAAAAAAAAAAAATGTACTTTAAAGGAAGAAGTATATGAACATTGGGGATTTAAACCAAGTAAAGTGACATCAATGTGGATAAAACCTAAATGGTATTAAAGACCACTTAATTATACAATGATACACCGAATTTAATCAAAATCGTTGGAGCCCTTTTGGAGAAAATGTATATCACCGTTGATATAAAGAGTCACATCCGGTTAGCTGATTTTAACATAAAAGTTGCTGTCACGTCAGAACCATATACAAACCTTAAATACGCCATTTAAGTTTCTTACGACTTTTTGTTTTTGAGCTAGGCTGTTCACACACACACGCACGCATGCACAGAGACGATTTTTTGGGACTTGGTTATTTCGACTTGGGGACCTCAAAACACGTATTTCCATTGAAAACTGAGATTCGAAAACTTTCACGAATGCAATACTTTCCCTTACTATATATTCCATATTTATGTAAGTGAAAGTAAAAAAGAGGGAATAATAGCAAGCTTTTAGAGAGTTTAATTTTCAAAAGTTTTATAATAATTTCTTACCACATAGTAGGTCATATATGAAAACCATTTTCCTCTCTATTAATTTTTAAAAAAAATTTCCTTCAACTTTTAATAACTTGAAACACCGATACAAGTTTTTTTAACTTTTTGAGCAACTTCCAAAAATCTAACTAAAGATTCAGGCTAATTTTTAGCTTTATAACTTACATTCCAAGGTTTAGCATTTTTCCACCTTAATTGACTGGGCTACATACCAAATCATATAGTTCCCTTTTATCTGCAGATTACTCTTAAATACCATCAACAGTAATAAAAACAAGAATTGTTGCAACATTGTCCTTTCCTCAATTCGACCATCCTTGATCAATTATAGATCTCTGAGTTATATTCTCTTCCTTTTTAATATTTATGAATGTATATAAGATTCTATTTCACATCAACACTATTCCAACATCGTCTTCGGAACATTAAATAAAAATTATTCCTTCAATCAAAACCAACATATTTCAGTATATGAGACATCTAACAACAAAATAGATCAGAATAGAAAATTTGAAATAGATTATTTCAAATTTTAAAATAATAATAGTAACAAAAGACGGTACTTTTTGTCTAAGCGGACGCTACTGACTGCTATCTGCCAATGTTTATAACCTGAACACTGATAACCCCCATAATGCAGTGATAAGCCTTCTCCTACTTCACATCTTCGTATTATTGTATTAAATTCGTATTATTGAAAGTGTAAACAGATACAAAAACAAATGTAATAACAACAAAAATACTTTTATTTGACGACAAATATATTAATGAAATGATAAAAAAACACTTTAAGAAGATATGTATATATAAAACATCAAAATGAAATTTAAAAAAAAAAACAAATTTAAAAGAAAATATTTACATAGAAAAGAAAAAATATCAACACTATAAACAACGTATATACAAATTATTTTAAGTTAATTATTCACTTCCTTTTGTCTTATTTATTTTGGAAGGCAAAATTGTTTTATGCTACTTAAAATAGCGAGAAACGGGTCCTCTTCTCTGAGAACCCGCCGCCACAAAAATTCGCACAAATATGAATCGAGGTGGTGTCTGGTGTTGTCTTCTTGTTTAACTTCATTCCATGACCTCGTTCACACAATTTCACATCGGCAAGTACCCCAACATTTTGAAAATACTGAATTGCCTGTTCTTCTGAAGACGGTAAAACCCATAATCTAAGAAGATCCATAATATGACGAAAATAAACGAAAAATAAAATGAAAAATAAACACCAAGGGGTCACAAACTAAAAAAAAATGTAAAATAAACACAAACGGGCCAAAAACTAAAAATAAACACAATCGGGCCAAAAGTAGACAATTTAATAAGTGAACGTAATAAGGGAATAACTGAAAACTAAACAATGCAATAACTCAAAAGTTTAAGAAGAGGGAGGTTATGTGACATGATGACATGACGTTAGATAAGATAGATAAGAAGTGAGGTTTCAAAACAGCCGCTTAGACAAAAAGTACCCAAAAGACTTAGTGAACCTGATACCAACGATCACTGTCAGCATACATCCCTCCACTGTCCAAACTTAACCCTTCCTGATCTGCCTTAATGCCATCTTCTTACCTTCACTTCAGTCAACTGCTCGGATGCTTACCAATCAGCACACTTATATTAACCTTTCAGGGATTCTTTGGTTACTAAGTCCAACAATTTTATATGCCCATTTTATTAGTCTAAAGTAATCATCGCAATGATATTAACTGGATACAGTTCTAGCGATTCGGCGTTGTGTAGCCGCCTAAATTCTCTGGTTGATTTATCCTTCTTCGGGCCAAATATTCTACACAATACCATATTATCAAACACCTTAAGATGCTGTCAATTCCTTATTGTAAGCGACCACATTCGCATCCATAAAAAAATGCAAGCAGGAAAATGTTTGGAACAGGGTGTGAGCTAAGTAATTTTAGTACAGAAAAATCTGGTGTTGTGCACGCATCACACAACTTTCAATTACCACCCTACTTTAAGTAAAAATAGGTTTGTTCATCATTTGATGTTTTAAGCTCAAAAGATGGGGGTCATCAGCGCCCATTTACTAATATTAAAATATTTAGCTGGGGGAATATCATCCATAGGTAACTGAACCTAAAATCATAGACGGTACAATTATCATATGTTTTTACCATTAGTCTGATGTTTTAAATTTATGTGGTTTTTGCTACTAACCATTTCCTTTTAAGGATGTATATATTAATTATTGATTCAATTATAATAAATAATCAAGTACCACAAAATTATTGTGGATTGTTTATCCTGTTTGTAATATGTCAACAATTCTATCTGTTAACTCTTGTTGAAACTAGCTTAGTATTGTGTTTGCTTTGCACTGTGAATATGGAAAAAATACCATTCATTATCGGCATATTTTGTTTTATTATTTTAAAAAAGGTAAGCGTTCTGCAGAAGCCCATATAAAAATTTGCAGTGTTTATAGGGATGATGCCTTAATCGAAAGCGAATGTCAAAATTGGATTTCCAAATTTAATTCAGAAAATTTTTACATCTATGATATTCAACACTCTGGTCGCCCTCATGAAATTGAAAGAGCAATGTTAAGGTCATTGTTGATCAAAATCCCACTTAATCAATGCGAGAGATTGCTATGGCCCTAAATGTGTTGCACACAAATGTGCACAAGCTCGGCTGTTTCCAGGCTTAATGTTTGGGTGCCTCACTCTCAAACCGAAGTTAACTTGGCAACACACATTTCTGATTGTGATTCACAACGGAAATGGCAACAAAACGACCAATTTTAGAAAAAGTTGGCAACAGAACAGGAGATGAAAAATGGATATTTTACAATAATGCAGTCAATAGAAAATCTTGAGCATCTAGTGATGAGGCTCCTAGAAGAATGTCAAAACCTGGATTGCATCCAAAGAAGATAATGCTTTCCATATGGTGAGATTTCAAGGGTGTTATTTTCTATGAGCTATTGCTATCAATTGCTACATAACAAACAATTGATTCAACTCTGTACTGCTCACTATTAACAAAATTGGATCAATTAATTAAAAATAAACGTCCAGAACTAGCAAATTGGGTGTTGTGTTCCACCAATACAACGCTAGGCACACTTCATTGGTCACTCCCCATAAATTAGTGAGCCTTCGACAGGCCCTTTTACTCCACTCTCGAAATTTATCAGACCTAATGACTACCACTTATTTTGGTCTTATTTTTATTTATTGATTGTCACATTAAAAAAATAAGTTAGAATTAGAACAGTGGAGGGAAGGAACAGTCAACCCCTACTCCCTAGCTTCGGCATAGTCTTATTCCGGCCATTGGCAGACATGATCTGTGTAAAAGGGAAATTGTTTCAAAGAATAGAAGAAAAGAATATGTATATATACTAACCTGGGGGATGACTGTTGGCAGACGTGCCTGGCTTGCTGAGGTCTATTTCTTCATCATCTTCAAACTCAAATTGTTCACCACCTGATTCAGAACCACCCTTCATTTCAGTTTTTACAACCCCATCTGAGCCTGGTGGAGGTGCAGGTGATGACTGCTCAGCTAATATCATTTCTTCTTTCTCTTCACTACTTTTTCTCTTCCTTCTTTTCGGGGAAAGTGAGAGAGGTGGTGGCGGGGAATCGTTGTTGTTTACTTTAGGTGCTCTTTGCTCAACAATCAAACCTTGTGGAAAAAGTGGAGGAATTTTTCTTTCTCTTTTTATTTCACCATTTCCACTGTCTGTTAAACCTTTAATCTGTAATGATTCAGCAGCTTTAAGAAATGTACCAAGCTGTTCTTGTGAGATGTTAACTTCCCCACGATACATATAATCCAGCATTGCTTTTAATTCAGTGAAAGTTACATCTTTCAAGATTATAATAGGATGCTTCTCATAATGTTGACTAAAGACAACCTACAAAATATAAATTATTAAATTCAGACTTAAATAAAAAAAAAAAAGTGTTCCTTCTTTTACATATGATACTAACTTAGAGTTTCATAGAGAAGATATTCCAAATTATTGGTAACTTCAAAGTTTTTTTGCAAAAATCACCAAAAAAATATTCTACTTTTGGAATAATGTTACCCTTGAGGAGTAAAGTTTGCCAGTTTTATAGTGCACTAAATAAATAGCTAATGTCTAATAGTAAATCCTCTGAACGATTTTTGTATATGTTTTTTCATATGAAAATTTAAATTACTTGTAAAATCAGACTATCCCTAAAGATGCCTGAAGAGGCGAAAATGTGAATAAATTTGAAATAAACTAATTATTGATCGAGACTGAAAAAGCCTTTTTTTACTAATACGTATTATAGTCTCATTGCCCAGAACATCTTTTATAATTTACATGGTAACCTGACAGCAGTTATGAGCATTAATTAGTGCCAGCTTCCACAAAGTTTTAATTTTTGACATGAACCCATTGAGATATAAAATTTGGTTAATTTCTCGGTACATTCTTACATTAAGCAATTTAATTATTTTAATATATTTTTTTTTAACGTAAAAAATATTTGTTTTGAGTAAAAACCAAATTAAGCTTTTGTAATAAATCAGAGAACAGTGTAAGTTTGAGCTTTTATAAGGAAATAGATCTCGAGCTTTGGGGATGTGATAATTAAAAAATAAATAAAAACTCTGCTAAACATGAATAATTACAAAAGCTAAATTGAAAATTGGGATTCTTAACTGTATATATGCATAGAAAACAAATATCAAGCATCATTCATTTTAGTATTTTTCAAGTGCCACTCATTTTAAAAAACCTCAAGACAACAACAATTTTTTATTTATTGACTTAGCCACCTTATATCCGAAGTTGATTAAAAAGAAAACAATAATATTTAAGAGACTCTGAAGTTTTGGCAGATGAGACTAGATACATTAAATACACTTACCCGCAACCATAATAACTAATTAATTTAAAATAAGTACCATCAAAACCATTCTAACATGAGGAACAACGTAAAAAAGAAATAAAAATAATGGCATATTTTCAGTGTGAACTAATGAAATTATGGAACTAATAATAAAAAAAAAGTACATAAGACATTTTAAAAACAACAAACAAGAAAAACTAGGTCTATTAAAGACAATCGAATTGGACAAAACAAACACACGCCTATTTCAGCATAGGTACCGCACAAAATAATTAAAATTGTATTCAGAGCCAGAACATCTGACACTATAAGTTACCTAAATAATATAAAATTGAAACAGAATCAAAGATAAATAAATTAATCTATATAATAGTCGGGGAGAGAATAAAATAAAAATCAGAAAATATATACAATACAAGAAATGAAAAAAAAATCAATATGCTATACAATAATATAGTGGGTAAACAAAAAATAAAAATCAAAGATAAATAAATAATAATAAATAAAAAATAAAAATCAAAGATAAATAAATTAATCTATATAATAGTCGGGGAGAGAATAAAATAAAAATCAGTAAATATATACAATACAAGAAATGAAAAAAAAAATCAATATGCTATACAATAATATAGTGGGTAAACAAAAAATAAGTAATTAAAATAAAAATCACATTAAGGTATACAAATATTTTTATAAAAAAATTAGCTGAACACCACTTTTAACTAAAATCTTCAAGATTATCCTATAGAAAACTATTAAATGATAAAACAGTAAATTTAACTTTAAATACGATAGTCAATCATGGAAGTCTAATAAAAAATAACTGATGAATATTTTTATTATATTAGTATGACTTTCAAATTTCTAGTCCAAATTAATTGACTCTCATATTTAATCAATTTTTTTTAAAATTTTGTTTCTTTATTAAATGGAGGGAGATAGAAGTAGTAAACGCAGTAGAGACAAAGATGGAATAATTACAAAAATGTATTTAAAGCTGAATGATTGGTTGAAATGTTTTCATTTAAAACTATAAAAAGATTATGTAAAAAAAAAAGTTAAATGATAAAATTTAATCATCAATTCCGAAAATAATAAATATTTAAACAATTGCAATCCTTAAAATAATAATCAATTCTAAAGAAATTAATTAAAAAAGCAGTTAATAAAATTATGAAGAAAAATCTTAAGTCGATTCAATTACCATATATTTTTTATTAACCTGGAAAAGATAAGAACACTTCAAATCTATCAGTAATGAAATCTATAGTTAATGAATTCTCCAGTTGATATTTAAGATTGGTTGTGAATAAACAATAATCCTTATCAATTGGAGTCAACACTCAGGCTGAAAGAATTAATGTTACAATGAATTAATACCTAGTAATGATAAGACATTAAAGGATCCTTATCATATAACAGCAATACAGGAATTATTTTGCCTGACTATAATATTTTTTAGAAAAAAAAAGGTTATGAAGATTAATGAACTTTATATCCCATGCATGGTTTCATTAAAAGATAGTGTGACACATATTTTGCATCCCCAAGGCATTGGTCCTGTGAGGCTATTGACCTTTAACGCAGCCAACTGCTCCATTCTTTTATTGCATTACATATAAACATTGCTTCTAACAAATCATTCATTAGCAAAACTTCACATACATAAACTAATCAAATAAAATTGTACTAGGGAAAACTATATATATACCTCGAAGAAGGGGCTGCATGCCGATAATACAACTTTATGGGCTTTTAAATACTGGCCCTCCGCAGCCAATGTACAATCAACCAATGTGCCACTTTCTAAAAGACTATCGAACACAGATATAAGTGTACTTTGATGATTATTCCATCTTAAACAAAACTGTTGATTCCCCGCCATAGCATAAACCAAAACAAAAAAAAAAAATTAAAAGAAGAAGTGAATAAATAATCAAGAAAACACCACACTGTTTGGAATCATGGGTACACGACTAACTAAAAAGAGGCCACCTAAATACTTTGTTAAAGGAATGAAGTAGGATAACTAGATTAGATAAATTAATTAATACCAGTTAAATAAATACATTAATTGAACATACCAGGAGCTAGTTTTTTTACTTTTATTTTTAAATAATGAGATACCTGATACGAAATTTTAATTAATAGTGCATTTCCATTAACAGTAATTGAAACCTTCTTTATATTCTAAGTTTTCTATTTTGGTTTTTAGAAAGTTGTTTCGTTGTACCGCTTATTCCTTAAAAAATTATCAGTTAGTGAATATTCTAAGTTTTAATTTTTAAGCCTAAATGAATTTTTGCAAATTTCCCATGTGTAGTCGGTCTACTAAATATTTCTTTTATGATTAATTTCTGTATTTTGAAGTTAACTACTAGATTTAAAATTTGTTATGTTTATAAATCCATTTTTATCATTTCTAAATTAGTTCAACTATTTATTTTCTAACATTTGCGTATAGGTTATAGTTTTTATGAGTTTTTAAAACTTGTGAATATTACAACAAATTGGAAATGTTTTTGAATTCTTACCTCTGAAGCAAATTATACATTTTAAATGTTTAATGTTTGAGATAGTTACAGCCATTATAATTCTAACAGGTTTTATACATACATATAGTGTTTATATTTAGTGTTATGAATCACTTTACCAAAATATGTGCTACTTTCTTAACACTGCTGCTCTTTGTTTTATACAATTCTTGAATGAAAGACAATATATGTGTGGATATAGTATTTATACAGAATATGTATAAGAACTACTACATAAAGCATATACATGTATACACAGGATATAATTCTTATAAATATATTTTGCTCATTAATTATTGTTTGATGCTATTATTGTGATTTAAAACATATTATAACTAATCAAAATTTGTTTATTTTTTCATAGGTGTACTGGATGAATAATAAGTTATGCCATTCTCTATCATAGTCATCAACAGTGTTACTTATGATCAAAAAAGTCAATTTGTAAATACACTTTGGTGCATTTGTAGTACCTTTTACCCCTTTCCTTTCCAGTGCATGGCGCATGTGCTTTTTGCTTTAATAGATTCTTAAATTTATAGTCTGTTCTACTTAACAAGTTATTTTTGTTCAGCTGGAGAATGGAGCCAAGGTGTCATAAGGAGGGGTCATAGAGTCCCATATAAACGCCAACAAACAACAGAACTGGAGAAGGAGTTTGTTCTTAATCAATATCCAGAACGGAACAGAAGGCTTGCTATTGCTAAAGCCCTTCGACTAACAGAACGACAAGTAAAGATCTGGTTTCAAAATAGACGTATGAAATGGAAAAAGGATCGAATGCGACAAGGACTAGCAATGGCCAGTAGTATGACACCGATGGTGAGCCCTCAAAACTTGTCCCTTTTAAATGCCATAGTTAATCTCTCGACAAAAGAGCAAGCTCCTTTAGATTTAGCACAAAGGTGAATCAAGTATAATCCTTTGCCTTTATTAAACATTTAACATATCTCTAGTGATAGATCATGTTAATAATTAATCTTTGAAAACCATTTTGATATGTTGGGTATAATAAACCTTTGCTACATTGATAACTAGTTAGTCAGTTTGTTGTTGAAAATAATTTTGCGAACTGTTCACATCTGTTATATATTTTTTATATATCCAAAATTTTTAATTACTTGGTTATTTTGATTAAACTTTTGGAAACATTAATTATCATTCATACCACTTTAACATAAGCCTTATGTTTATGAGCAATTAGGTAATTTTTAGTTCCTTCTGTTTATTAAGAATTATTATAAATATCTTCAAAATTGGTTCACATAAAACATTCATAGTTGAAATTAACATGTGTACTTTGTCAGATCACCTTTTTAGTATTAGTTGTATTGAATATAGTTTTGGTAATTGTTTTGATGACATTGTTAAATGCAAATCTTACCAAATAACATGATATGTACACCATTACTTAAAATTATTTTACGGACTAATATATATATATATATATATATATATATATATGGAAATTATTCACTTATCTTACTTCTGTCTTTGTTTTGATTACATCTAGTAATGCAGCAGTCAGAGATAATCTACTGCTCTTACGTGTGATAAATACAAACAAAGCAATATCAATTCATACACCTGATAATTCATGGTGGGATATTTTAGTTTCAAAAATTGCATTGATGGTGAATTACTATGTGGATGACTCACTAGTAAATTGCTTAGCTATTTACTGAATTAGCCCATTTTAGGGTAGTGACAATGTTCTTAGTATTTTTTATGTCATGATTTGACAAGAAATCTATAATAATTTAATGGTTAAATATAAAACCTCAACCATGTTAAAATTGTACACAATGGTACTTTGTAAATTTTAGATTGTTTTATATTTATGATATCCACTCTGCTCTGTTCATAATGCTAGGGCTAGACAGAAACTATTGTCTTGATGATGACCCACATGGGTTATAAGGTTGTAAAGCTGAATATAACAAAGTGAGATTGAAAATCCTGATTATTTATGAACCTGATAATTAAAAAAGTCTGCTAAGTAAGTCAGTATAGCTTCTTCTCCAGTTGTGATGGGTGAAGAAAATTTTTAAAATAATCAAATTCACAAAGGAAGGTCTTCTGATCTTGCACGTGTCGGCATTTTTGCATCCCTTCAGGACCTTTCTCATATAACGACGCCTACCTGAACTGGATCAGTTGGTAGTTATTACCATCTTTCTGCTCTTGACCATCTCTAGTTATTTTTAGTTCATGAAATATGATATAGATTTAAATTTACCAATCAGCCGTCCTGTATACTTAAAAGAGTAGAAATTATGTCTTGGAAATGTTGCACTATCACAAAGTTTTTCAAGTGCATTTTTAACAGAACTAATCCTTAATCCTTACAGCTGATTTGTAACAACTCATTAATGTCATTAAAATAACCCAAACCCTATTTATTATTTCGACATTAGACAATTAAAACTTCATAAATCCATCTGTTTTGTTAACCGCGTAACTCCAGTTTCTGAGCTACATATATATATGCCAAGAAATATTTGTAAGTGTATTTTTATATTTAACCTATTAATATACACTTGCACATTTAACCTGTTACACTATTAGTTATTAAGATCTTATTTTTCTAATGTAAAGTTTACTAAAATTGAGTAACGAGATTTTCATTGTGGAAGTATTTTTTTTTTTTAGTTTAGTAGATCGAATTTGTTGAAATTGAAACTCCCTTGATATTGTTTTTATCAATCCTTCACTTTCTTCCAAGTTTGGGGCAATTCAAATGAGCGGTTATTGAGAAATAAGCATATCCAGGAAAATACTTTTACCCAAATTTAAGAGAAAGTTGTGAATTGAATTCAATAAAAATGGAACAGCAATTTGAATTGCTGTTTTTTCTTTCCATTTCAAATATTGAGGTGGAATTACTTGGGGACTGGAAGGAGAGGGGATTCTTAGTAGTCATCATGCCTTAGAAAAGCATATTTTTCTTGTTTTTTTACCAATATGCTGACAATGGCCAGAAGCAAGTAAAGGTATTATCTGCAATGTTAATAAAAGTTTTTTAAGTTTTAGAATTTTTTTTTGTCTTTTTTCAATTAGATATTTGGAGATCCTTAATTACAGACCATAAGTTATTTTAGTATCTGTCCATTGCCTTTAAGCAAATATTGTGTCCCCTTGACCAATTTTTTTATTAATTTTATTCCATAGTCATACTACCATACTTGTCGTGGTTATTTTTTTTTTCACTTCTAAAGTTGCAAGGAATACCGATTAAAGAAAAGTGCATTAAGTTCTTTATTTTGTGTTGGCTACTATTGTAGACCATTATATTGTTTGTATAGTGTTTGATATTTTTTTATATCAGCTCTTTCCTATTCAGAAATATGTTAATATGTACTGATAGTATGTAGCAGATATCTATTTATTTATAATCATTGATTCCTTTACTCTGGCACTACTTATTTTAATTCACTTTCCATACCTTCTACTTTCTATGCAAATATATCTTTTTGATGATTCAAATAGTAACCAGCTTTAAAAACAATATCTTTGGCAAATATGAAGAATTAAACTAATAATGAGAACAGGTATCCTTTCACTGCTCTAAACGTCATCATCAGATTTTAACTATTCCACATTTGATCATAAAGGCAGAGTATTTGGTGTTAAAATAACTGATATGTTTCCAAAACATTAGCAAAGTTATAACTTGTTAATTTTTAAAATAAAGATTATTTTTTTCTAAATAAAGAAGAATACTCTTTTTGTAGAGTCCTGTATTTGTTTATTATTTATTCGTTACATGAAGCTTTCGGTGCCTTGCACCATTTTCATTTGTTCCTAACCTAAATCCATCCACTTAAGATGTCGTTCTTTCAAAAATTATATTCCTTTCCTATCAAATCCTCTTCTTAACAAATGTCTTTCCTAACAAATTCCAGAGCTCAAGATCTCAGGTTTGAATCCAGCTGATCATCAGCCGTGGGTCGGCCCTGTGATCGGGAGATCCTCCTGGGCCATACCCAGCCTCTATAAAGTGGGTACTCTTAATTAAATAATTAATTAAGGGAGGAAACATAGCGGTTAAGCGTGATATTGGCTCGTCACCCGCTGCACAACCGTTGGCCTTTTAATAGCACTTCCTCAAATTTTACTGAATCCAAGACCCTTCATGTATTGTTAGTGGTACTGAGTTTTTTCCAATCATTAATAGATGGTATTAGTATTGTTTTGTTAAAAATCTATTTCTCTTTTCTGTCCATACCGGGTCGTATAGAGTTTTAATAGACAGAAAAGGTCCTCTCTCCTCCAATCTTAAGTGCAGACTTTGAAGGGGAGGGGGCAATCACCCCCTGCCAATATTTAGAAGAAAAAACTTAAGTAAAAGTCAATAACAATTAATCTACATAAATGGATAAAATGTGTAAACTGAAATCAATTAAGGAAATAGGAAAAGTCAACTAGATGACTAAGTTAAGTAGTAGAA